AGTCAGTCACAAATCAAACAGTGAACTGGCAGTCATATGTACAGTAAGTAAGGCCACCATGTTTACATAAGACAGGTAGCCCAAGGTAGTAGAGTCAGTTAGAAATCAAACACTGAACTGATTGTCATATGTACAGTAAGGCTGCCATGTTTACATAAGACAGGTAGCCCAAGGTAGTACAGTCAGTCACAAATCAAACAGTGAACTGGCAGTCATATGTACTGTTAGTAAGGCCACATTTACATGAGACAGGCAGCCCCAGGGAAAAAAGACAAAAGAGTTTGGCTTTATTATGATCTATTGACACCCTATCTGATGTTGACATGGTCTAAGATACATGTGTGAATAGACCTTGTTTCAGTTAAAACCAATCACTTTAAGTTRATAAAATGTTAATTGTATTTTAGGGGTAAAATGATCAGCCAAGATGATTACACTATGATAGCAGACTATGACTGYATGGGTCCAGAAGAAAGAGCTAATATTATACAAACTAAGGGTGAYCAGGTAATGAATGGATGGGAAATTGAATAGTCTCCTTCCTATTTTCACTTGCACTGTACTGATTCAAGACATGGATCCAAGGGGGGACAAACGGGGGCTTGGTCCCTATTAGATCCTCTTAAAACCACTAAGGCCTCAGGTGGAACCACTGTTGTGTTTAAAACTAAATGTTGGACAATAGGAAACAACGGCATTTGCATAATTGAACAACAATTTTTTTTACGTGTACTCTACCTTGATAATGGCTGCTTAGGCCAAAAGCTTGGTCGTATTAAAACATCTACATGTATGTAAATGCAGAGGATTCATTTATTTTTACTAATTATGCCTGCGTACAAAGAAATTCTAAACAATTTTGTACTATTGTGAGATAAAAAACTTACTGCACATATGGATTAAAAAAACCTGACATGATAAAGCATAGATGGTAAAACATTAATTTATGGTAAATGTGGTCTGTTTTTACAGCTTGCAAAGACTTGTTTATCATTACTGTCAAGACTGACAAGAGACCAAACTATTCGCTACATCCTTGTCATAGTAGATGACCTCTTAAATGTAAGTACTCTTAAGTAATGTCTTGAGTGATTTTATGAGTGCACCAGAAAGCCCAAGCATGATGAACACTGACTTTAACATTAACTCTTAACAGTGTCTGTTGAAGTAATAAATAATAACAATATCATTATGCACCTATCAATTCCCGACCCTGGGGCAGTAATAGCTGATCTAATCCCCAACCCTAACCCTTAACATTGATAGGTGCATTAATTACTCGTATGGCGCAAATTCGCAAGTGGGTATGATCAAATGTGCCTGTAACAAATAAACTCAAGAACATAAATCAAAAACAACATAAAGTACATTAGATAAGAATCCCAACTGGTGAKGGGGTGAACCAGTTTGCCATATATTACAAGCATGGCTAAGAAACCGAGTTTGAACTAATCGAAATTGGTGCAAATTCAGTCTCAACTAGTGGTCAGACCGGAAATCTAACCTTGGACTGGCAGAATATGGTACAACACTAATTACATTCATTAACAGAAAGTTTGTGTTTACCTTACAGGAAGAAAGAGGAAGAGTGGTGGTCTTTCATGACTTTGCTAAGAAGTGAGTTTTGAAGTACAAATCAAATTTTCCTTCCTTACTATCGAGACAACAATGTAATGGTGCAGGGATAAAGCTGAATAGTGCTTCTTATGTCCGATAATTGAACATATTATTAAAACTACTGCAGTTTGTAGTTTAACTCTTCTATTTCTTTCAGAAATAATGTTAACTTGTGGTCATCATTTCTTGGGCTTGTAAACAGACAAGATCAGTTTATCATACATCAAGTAAGAGGATAGACAAGATCACATATTGCGAGATATGTCCAAAACACATATCAGAAAAATAGAACATATTAAGTAAAGATGAAATTTAGATTTGAAATTAAAAGTCACAAATAAAAGCATTTGAATTTTACTGTCTTTTTCTTTAATCTATGTTGTAATTTTTACAGGAAATCATGAATAAAAATGTTATTGTTGATGAAGCCTTATTTTCATGCATTTTCTAGGCTGCAGTGATATCTGCCAAGTTGGCTTGCTGGGGCAAAGCACGTCTACCTGAAAATGACCTGAACTTTTTCCTTACTTGGCTAAAAGAACAGTTAACAACAGCTGTGAGTATTTATCAGAACAGAGCTTAAAGCAATCAGATATGACATTGTGAAATACTGAGTGTAAAGCTACATCTATTCAAGAAAACTAAGAAAGTATTTAAAGTGGATGCTGATTATTGTGTCATTGTTCTAAAAGAGTTTTTCACTGAGTGATCAAAACTATATGTAGCTTTGCTGGAAAGTAATTTAGTTTAGAATGTTAGTTATAATTGTCGCATAGGAAGAATGCGCTATGAATGTCAGTTTGGAATGTACAGTTGGCAAGCAAAGGCAAACAGTTTGTGAACAAAGTAAGAACAGTTGGCAAGCAAAGGCAAACAGTTTGTGAACAAAGTAAGAACAGTTGGCAAGCAAAGAGCAAACAAAAAGTGTCTGTGATTCGCAAACTGCTTGCTGAAATTTGCGAACTAGGCGCATGTGATTCTAGGCAGTACTGTACATGTACTACTTGTACAAGCAAGTATGCAACATCGAAGTCTAAATGAATCTTGCATCAATGATGATCAATGGTCAGATTTTTTTTTTTGAAATGTCTTTAAGAATTTGCCTGCATTCATTTACATGTATGTGCCTTATTCTCAGGCAATTCATTATTTCTTCAACCTCAATTTCCCATTTTTTTTCATTTCAGGGTTGTGAATATCTSCATAGTGTAGCACAGTGTTTACAGCTCATGTTAAGAATTGAGTCTTACAAGCAAGCGTTCTTTAAACTGGATGGGATTAAAAGGTAATTGAATGAGATGGG